CTTGCTCCAAATTTCGCTTAATTTAGGCAATAAGCGTAACTTATACGAATTTTCGAAGTTTCCAAAGATTTGCGGGATTTTCACATTTTTGCACTGTCCTTTTATTGTCCATTCCTGCTCATCTAAGGCAGATATCGGGACGCGAGCTTTTGCAGCCGGTCGAAGATTTTCTTAAGGCTCGCTGTGAGTTGAATTGAATTATTCAGTTTAGAAGCTTAGTTTATATCAACTGATAAAATTGCCTAACTGAACTTTGCCATTTTTGCACTGCCACTTTTCAATTGGTAGAAGCCTTGTTGAAAGCTTGCTCTAAATTTCGCTTAATTTAGACAGTAAGCGTAACTTATACGAATTTTCAAAGTATCCAAATATTTGCGGGATTTTCACATTTTTGCACTGTCCAATTATTGTCCATTCCTTTTCATCTAAGGCAGATATCGGGACGCGAGCTTTTGCAGCCGGTAGAAGAAGATTTGCTTAAGGCTCGCTGTGAGTTGAAATGAATCTAGTTCGGTTTAGAAGCTTAGTTTATATCAACTGATAAAGTTGCCTCAGATTTACTGAACTTTGCCATTTTTATACTGCCGTCCTTTATTCCTCCCGATCCAGAAGAGATATCGAGGACGGTCTTCAGCAATCAGTACACAAAGCCTTGCTTAAAGCTCGGTGCGAATTTGGTCTAATTCGAACAAACCGATTTAATTTATATTAATTGAAAAAGCGGCGCATAGTGAGCGGTCAAATTGGTACCATCATCAATCGCGCTGGGTGCATGAATGCCCATCCACCTGCACCGTGAAACAAGGACAAACCGATGGGGTGAACGAGGAGAGAGCGATGGCGACTCTGTGGCGTGGAATGCGACTAAAACGCACATAATAATGGTTTACTCGTTGCATCCAGTGGTCAGAATAGAGAAGCGACTTGTATGCAAATCGGCCATTTTTTCGGCCCGGTACAGTTTCACTGGTACCTAGAGCGAACATGTTGTTGCCTTGAACAGGTTTTTTCCCAGGCTTATCAGTTCCGATCAAGTCTGGGTGCAAACAGACCCAGAGCCAGATAATTCGGGTACACAACACCTGTGAAAACATCATCATCATCATCATCGCCCAAAGATAAAGATGTCACACCGCATGACGACATACGACATGGCGTAATCGATTCGCCTAATCAATCAGCCAAAATATGAGCGTTTCGAGCGTTTTCAATGGGCGTATGTGCACCTGCTTGCACCCAGGGAAAAAACGTGAGAAAATGCCACTGTCCAAGACATTTTTCAACCAAAAAAGCCGATCCGTGTTCCCAGAAGCGGGACGCGACGATCTACAGGTAGTGGTGGTACCTGTCGCCCATTCGTTACCATAAAAGGCCGGCAACTTCTAAGGTCCGATCTCCGGCCGTACAATACTGTTTTTATGCCCCATACTATGAGAAATATGTCGGGTTCTTCATCTCATTGCCTCGGATTCCAACACGCACTAGTGCAGGATAATGCCACTTTGCGGTTTGCAGCACTAGGTACTATTGAATGCACCCGGTAGCAATGCGCCTTAATTCCCACGGAACTCACCCAACGGGCAAGAGGGAGAAGAGTATATCCGTTGCCCTGGTGATTGCGATGTCCTCGTTGCACTGGCCCGATATACCAGAGCCGGGCGAAAATTAGCTAGAAATCCTTAGTGCACCGAAACTGGCGAAAATGACGACCTTGTCAGTTCAGGTGTACTCCCTTTGAAGTGGCATATTTACTCGAATGAATCAAACGGATCTTTATTAGATGGGAAGCGAAGCTCTATTAAAGTAATTGGCCGCTACCTACTCGTTCAGCTCTCTAATAAGGATTTCCTCCTCCAATTAAGAGATTAGTCGATAATTTCTTGCGGGTTATTAATGGCGCAAGATGGCGTCTGCAGGACGTGGGCCTCGCAACCTCATCTCACTCGTAATAGATGGACATTTTCCGGAAATTGCCTGACTAGTTTCGACCAGTTTTTCCAAGCTGTTTGTGTCCGATTGTACGGATTCCTCAGCTCAGCGATTAGAGGCACTCGAACTGCAATCTAGTCCATCAGTCGAGTAATAATCGTTGATTAAACACAGGTGCCTTGCACCTGAAGCTTTCCGCTTATCTGTCTTGAGAACCGTACCGGCTTGGGTACCAAGGATTTAGTGGCGTTTTTCCATCGGCTGGCTGAAAGCCTCCACCAGTCTTGTTTGTCATCCATTATTACCAAAGCTATTAGGCTTTTTCTCCATTATCCATCCTCCTATTTCAATTACAAATCCACCTCGTGTCTGCTACACTTTAATCGTCCCAAGTTATTAATTTTTTTCCTGTGGTCAGCGTATTCAAAGGAAATTTGTTGTTGTATGGGCAGGTCGATGGTACCGTTTCCAAGTTGTTGATCTTGTGGACGATAGTCAAGGAACCAGGTAGAACCCAATTAACTGGCAAGTGCGCACCACCTTGAAAAATTGAGGTCGCCACGCTAAAAACAACTAAATGGGTGTTTAGTTGTATCGCAAGGCCAGAACCGATTTCGCATTTATTTGCTCGCATGCAAATGCTCAATTAGTCGCTGTTGTTTCGAATCGCCCCTGGTACATGGACAGGGTGCGACAAGAACAGACTGGTAGCCATGGAAACCGCTATGTTAGTTTCGCTCTTGACTGCAGTCGGACTGCGTCTGGTTGTGTACGAGGGGGCATGGAAAGGTTGATGCTGTTTCAAAGCACTTCGAAGGCGAAGGGAAAATTTAGACAGTGCGGACCCATTTGGCAGTGACGCAATAGTTGGCATTCTTTTCCTGTGTCTGATGAAAATGATGCAATTCGCGAAAGTATTGAAGGCCATTGAAATTATTCATTTGATTTCTGGGCGAGGGTTGACAGTTTTTGTGCATTTTCCAGGTTTTCGTTTCAATTTGCCGATAAATTGGCTATTTGTGTCTGCTATGCTTACAAAAAAGCACGAGAAAATTGAACCATTTAAAAACCGTTCTCCTGAATCCGTGGTAAAATTCGTCACAAGTGGAGCCTTTCAGAGCCCATAAAAGAACCTTCTTCGAATTGTTCAGGTCGACATTTTTGCTTTTGACATACATAACCGGTTCTGAACATTTTCTTTGAATGAATCTGAATCTCTTTCTCTGAATGAACTGAATGTTTTAGCCGGATGGCTGAAATAATAGAAGTGGCTAATTGTAGCCCCCTTGGAATACAACGTTGCCAGTATCTAATGTTATTGAATGTAATTGAGAGATGGTTTATTAGAAACTGGAGAAACAACAAACCATTTAGATGTCCTTAAGAAAAATAGGATCCAATTAAATATTGGCCCAGTATTACACCCCACACATTAACTGACCGCCTATTTTGATTTTTCATGATCCTGTATGCGCGTGGATTTGTATCAGAATAATAATGGAAGTTGTGTCTATTCACGAGACCATTGTTATGAAAAGTACATTCATCACTAAATAAGACAATTTCGAAAAACTTTTCATTTTCTGCCACTTTATCTAACACCCACATGCAAAACTCAGTTCGGTTTTCAAAATAATTTCCATCAAGTTCTTGGCAAAGCTGAATTTTATAAGGATAAAAGTTGTGCTTTTTGATAATTCTGGAAATACTTGATTACTATAATTCTGGATATACTGAACTCGAGAATAAACAACAATAAACAATTTTTATGACATTCTCCAAGGGTGAAAATCATGTCAATACGCTCTTCTCTTAGACAATTCTTCATTTTAACTTAGCAACACAATAATAATATTAAAATAACGACCAACACGTCTACAATTACAAAAAACAATACCACTCTAGCTATCAAA